ACCTGAAAATGTATATACTTACGGGGATATGAAAGTCGAAAAAGCAGAAGTATGTAGTTTTAGGGCTTTAGTATGGCAAATTTTCATGCTAAATGAAAAACCTTACTCTAAAATGATACAAAGAAGAAGAGAGAGTTTTTAACCATTTATTTATTTTTTATTGCATTTTTAAACATCAATATTCTTTTTAGTTATTAATAAAATTCAGTAGTTTGCATTTAGGGTAATGCTGGCGATGTAATAGAACTACTTGCAAAAGAAATTGCTTTTGTTCTTCGGCTTTCGTTATAGTTCGATTATCATTTTGTATCAATATCGTTAACATATTTAATACTCTTAATCGTCTCTAAGACAGGCAAATTTAGAGAATGTAATGCCCTACAAGAATATGGCCTCAAACGATTATAAAGTTTTTAAAGAAAAAAAAAAAAAAATAATAAATTGTTTCATGTTGTTTACGTGGAAAATTTCAAATGCCCGCCGACACCTTTTACAATTGGAATACAATTTCGTTAGACTAGTTTATTTGCATCATCCCAATATATACATACATATCTATGTTTAAGTACATATGCACATACGCAAAATTTGTACACGCATCGCATATATTATTTGGTTCGCTGAATGCTCGGAAGTTGTTTTAAACTAAATTTTTTATGCACTGCTGCTGACTTCAGCTGTCTTTACAATCTTTCATTTCATATTTTTCTCAAGGGTTTTTCACAATTTGTTAAAACGTATGTGGAGCATGTTTAAGCTGTGTTTGTTTGCTATCCGATATATGTACATATAGATCCATAGCTATGGTCAGAAATGTGAACAAACCACATATAAGAAAAAACAACAAGGAGAAAGTTTACATATGAGAAAAGACAACAACATATAAAAGTTCTACATATAAGCAAAAACAATAACAGATAAAATAATTTCTTTTCCGGTTCCTTCACTATTAGCTAGGGATGATTTATGATATACTATGTATTACAACTTGAATATCAGGTTACAATTTGGATTTGAGGTTTAAGGAAGTTTCATGGAAAATGTTTTTGAAGAGGGTTGCCACATGAATCAAAGTTTTAATTCCATTACGTTTATAAGATAAACAACATATTATTACAAATAAATATGGGCATCAAACGAAAACGGCTTACGATGTGATTTCGAAAATTTTTTTGAACAGTGTTGCCATATGTTTGAAATTTTTTTTCTATTAAATTGATAAGGTAATGAAGTGTTGCCATAAGGGTGTCAAAATAACGTGGTTTAAGGAAGCTTAATCTGGAAAATATTTTTAAAAATTATAGCCACCTAGTTTTTGTATCAAATGAAAGATATTTCAGAAACCTGCAATCATTTTTCATTTGCTAATCTAAAAGGTTAAGATTAAAATTTTAAAATTAAATAAAATATTACAAGATGGGTACGATACGAAAAGTTTTTGAAAAAGCTTTAGTAGAATGAAAATAAAATTTACAAGCTCTTTGATCCAGAAACACAGAACTGCCCATTGAGATTTGTTATTATCCATTACATTTTTGATTGACTGTGCTATACAAGACTGCCAATTGTTCTGTCCGGTGGTGTAAAATTTATTATCTACATTTCTCAAACCTGTTTCGTCTTTTCGTAAAAAAAAAAGTTTTAGATTAACAAAATACTCGGTTAGAGAAAATCATAAAAGTTCTCTGATTTTCATATATCCATTTTATTAGGCTGAGCAAATCAGTCATCTTACAGTTACCTAAGCGAAAACACTATCAGCTGATTGCCAAAAAATGCCTACAGCTGAGATCACTTGTTTTTTTTTGGTACTTCCTCGTATCTTTTGCAATTTCTTTCATTTATATTACAATTTGTTCAAAATACACTAACACACTGAACCAAAAACACCAATACACTAACCAAATACACACCTACTGCCTGCCAGAAAAAACGGTAAACAGAAGTGTAACGTTACTTATGGAACTGTAGGATGAAAGCAGTTTTTGATTTTGAATTTTCTATTTCATTTTTCAGCTTCATGACGTTGCTTGAGACAAGATATCAAAATATTCAAATAAAAACGAGTTCTACAACTATTTTGTTTTTATTTTTTATTATTATTTTGTTTTTTTTTTTTTGAAATAAAATTGAGCAAATATTTTTGCTGCTTTTCATTGATGGCAAGTTTTGTGGTATGGTGGTTGTGGACATCAGCTGTTTTGCTTTGTTGCGCCTTGCTTCGCTCAGTGCCGCTGGGCTTTCTATGTGAACCCAACCGTAGGAGTCGACACCAATTCGAATCGCTGCAAGTTAAGTTTTTAGAAACAGCTTTTTGGAGAGCGAAGTGGAGAGTTAGAAATGCGATGATATAATGATGGTTATATATCCATTTTGACTCGGTTAAAGGATGAGCTTTGAAACATTTTGTAATCAATAATGCAACAGCCTTACAACGGTAATCATTCAGAAGCTGAATATAGTCCTGAATTTTACTTTTAATGCTGTGCGAAAATTCAGGTGAGATATATTGGAGAACAGCCTCTAAGAAATACAGACTTACTTTACCCACTGTTATTGGCCAGCCCTTGTAAAATATCACGTTCAGTTCCGTATGTTTTGACCTTCCTTGTACATACTTATTTGTCAATATCTTTATCGATGTATTTGCGTATATAAATATGCTCGCATGTTGTGTGTACTACATACATACTAACCCCAAGTTACGCATTAGCAACACCATTACGTATACGCAGCGTGTGACCGGCCCAGCACTAAATAGTGGGCGGCATGCGATATTATTGTCGAGACAAGCGTACGCCACTATCCGATAAGTGAGACCACTGTGTTGTGGCAAACAATAAATATGTAATAACGTAATAGCAATATTTATTAGCGGTAAACGCCAGCTACTTGCGCGCACACACAAAACCACACGCAATTATACGCCCAGCACGAATACGCGGCTGCGGGTGCATATGCTGTTGTTGTATGAGCTAACTGATTATCGTTGGAACGTGCACATTTGCATGGCGTGGAGAAAAAAATGTGAAAGAAAATGGCAAAAGGGAGAACGCTTACATATTTGCTTGCCTACTTGTTGTTTTTTACTATTTTATCACCGTTAAATGTATGTACATATGTATGCACTACTTATATATATGTGCGCTACATGCCAACAAATGCCAGAGCAAATTACAAATAAAAGGCATGCAAAACAACAACAACAGAAGTGAAAGCAACAAAAACCAAAACCTAAACAAATAAGCAAACAAATCGAAATTGATATTGTCTAACCGAGGCTGCTGCTGCTGCAGGGAAATACTTTTAACCTCACATGTGTGTGTTAATTTTGTTTAACATTCTTTGGTTGTAGTTATTATTACTCGCATGCCGTGAGCGTTGTGGCGTGTGGTTATCTGACGTTTATTGGCTGGCTTAATGAATTCATAAAAATAAAGTAAAAAACATCTAAATAAGTGTAATGTAATTTTCGCAGCAGAAAAAAGGATATTGTTAGGCAGCTAACTGATGGCTATCACCGCACATTTCGTGCGTGAATGAACGAATTGTTGGATGTAGCGGCAAAAGCATTTTGTTGGCATGTATGTACATATGTACAGTGACTCGAAAATCTTGTTTCGAACAAATTTTTTTTTGTTATTTAGAAAAAAAGTACCTTCCGAGACTTAAGCAAAATCATATAAATCACAGTTTCAGACTTAGTAAAAAATTTAGAAAATTCAACAAATTTTCATCAAAATTTCAACTTTTTAATAAGGGTATTTTTCTCTAATGAAGTGCAAGTTTCAAACCGCTAAAAATCCCGCTATTTTCGGATTTTTTTTTTTTTGGTAACGGATTTTTTTTTCATAATACATAATAAAGAATTTCAATCAAGACCGTTAGCAAACACATTTCTAAAAGTCAGCGCCAGTTTTTGTAAGTTGCACTTATTATATAAAAAACAAAAACGCAAACGCAGTCTCAAAAAAAAAAAAATTCTCACAAATCAACGAAATTTTTTAGCCGGTTGAAAATTGAACTTAATTACACTAAAATTGTATGGGCTATAAAGCTGCATACCCAAAAATCTTCCAAAGATTCAGATAAAAAAGTTGAAATTTGGATAAAAATTTGTTGAATTTTCCTAATTTTTTTTTAAACTTCGAACCTGTGATTTATCTGATTTTGGTTAAATCTTGAACGGTATTTTTATACAATAATAACAAAAAAACAAAAACAATTTAGCCCTAAAAACATGACGAATATTTAACAGAAATCAAATTGTAGTCGTTTGTTTAAGTCACTGTATGTATATGTAAAGTAGCTGATACTTCAATCACGCACTTTGATTGTTACTTGATATACAATTTTCCGGTAATGTATATGCCCTTGAACTCCACATTAGCCACCCTCATCAATGTTGACATACCAGTGACCCCTTTTCAACAGCTTACTTTTGGATTTGCTCTAATCTCTTCTACTGAATTCGGTTGGTTAATATAAGCACTTACCCATATGCAATACAAGCGAAAATCTGCCGATATATTTTTAACTTTTGTCATTTTAGCTGAAAAAAGGTTAAATGTTATGAAAATTTGTATGATATATTTCTCATTTAACCTTTATTGGCAGGCAAACTAATCAGTCATCTAAACCTATACAAACACACATACATATGTATGCTAATAGTAATAACTAAGTTTGACATGATATTTATGGGGCATATTCATAATTAAAATAAAGTGGACTCTAAAATTAATGACAGCTTTTTGACATAAGTGTCAATGAAATGTATGTCAAACAAGCTGCAACTATATAACTTAGTTTCGACTATAAATATGACCCTATATCCCTAATTGTATCTGTTATACATATGTTTATTTTAATGAAATTTATATTCGATTTCTAAATTTTCTATTGCCCTCTTATGTATTAGTATGTAGCTTATATTAGCTGCACATTTTGATTGACAATAAGAAGTGAAATAATTCATTATTCTTTCTTTTTAATTTCAGCAAATCAAACGTTGGTTTGATTTTGTCAAAACTCATCACTGTTTACTTCTTTAAACGGTATGTATTAATAAACTTTATTATATTATTAGATAAAATTTAAAGACACAAACATAACTTGATTATTTGTTATTATTTCGTTCTTCAAAGGTATTTATTGACACTTTTAAATGACCCTTACTAAAGGTATAAGGAAGAACTGGCGAACTCGCATGGCATTAAAAGGTCTAAAATTTGGATTTCAAAAACCTGGAAAGTATTCCAAATATTAGTCAGGATATAACCGATGCGAGTGCCATATTTCATTTTCATAAAACACGAACTCTTAACCACTTGCATCTTGCACTTTATTCTAATTTAATGATCTATAAAACTGCATACCCAAAAATTTGAAAAAAAAAAATTAATTTTGGTGACTTTTTTTATAATATTTTAAAATTGGTTTTCAGTTTGGGAGAACCCTACAATTGTTTTCAACTAATTTTTATTATGTAACGTTTATTAACTGAAACAGGAGTATCGCTTTTCTTCAAACGTGCTTTATTTTCAAATTTTTCGGTACTTTGCACTAAAAAATTTAATACAAACAAACAAACATTCAAAAATTGGGCTCAACTTTTCTCTTGCAAATTTTATTAGCTTTCATAAAAATAAATTAATCAATTTGAGTGAAAAATGAAGGCTCCAGTGAGTTGTGAACACACCATGTCGATTTTGTGCCACTGTGCAGTGCCACCAAGCGAGTTATTTGGTAGGCAATGTTGAGAAAACATGCCATCTATTCCTAAATATGCCCGAAAAATCCAAAATAATTTGCCTCTTTGTACGGGACAGCTCCAGTCTACCATAAATCTTAGTTACTGTGTGTTATGGAAAATTTCAGCTAATTAGTTACGAGTGTAAAAAAAAACAAAAATTAAATTTGGTAATATTTATTTTGGTTTTAATAAAAACAACAAAAGTTAAAAAAAACAATACTTTTCGATTGTCCTCTACAATAGCGACACAGCCAAAAATTCAAAAAAGCAAAACCCTTACAACCGTTAAGTCTCTCATTCCTCTAATCCTTCTCTAATCCAGATCTAAGCCTTACTATTTACCTTAGTTGGTGCTGAGACTATTTTAAGAATAAATTTTGCCTACACACTCTTATTTCGTGAAATTCAAATACTCCGGGTATAAAAAAGCTTTGGAGACGTCCAGAGTTAAAAATTATTGATAATGCTTAATGAACGATGGCTATATAATTATCTATGTAAAACAAATTTCCGGTAAAAATACGCTTAACCATTTTTGTTGCCGTTGTAAAAATATATGTCATTAACAGTCGGCTTCACCAGTAATTTAACCCTAAAATGATGTTTTTCTTTTGTCAGTTTTCATATTAAATTCTAATAAAAACATCATTTTTCATTTAAATTGCTTTTGTGAAACTGGCTATAAGTGTAATCAAGTGAAAAAATCGATTTATGTGTAAATTTTTTATTTTAATACATTTCCGCTGAAAAATTTGTCCGGAAAAGTTATTAGTTTGCCGATTAAAAAATATAAATTTTTCGTGGAATGCTCGGATACTTTAGCTTAATTTTTTATGACAAGTTATTCCTTTTAATTACATCTGTTTTAAAAAATTAACATAATTTCCACACATAGCACTTATTGAGGCTACACTGCGTATACGTTAAATTCACTCGTACCATTTATTTTTCGTTACTCATTCGACCCGTAGCACCAAAAAAGGCAACATGCAATGTTTAATTTTTGCGTACAATAACTGAAATCATGCATTAATTTGTAAAAAATTACATCTTTTGCATATTTTTGTGTTTCTTCACTTTGGCAAACGTTAAACATTTTTCCACTCCTACGAACATTGACAAAACGTCACGAAAAGTTTACAGTTGGCGCGTGAGTCACGCCATGCCTACAGTTAAAAAAAATAGCCAGACTGTGATAAAATCCGAATTGAAAATGCATGCATATATTTATGTCTGCACCTACATATATTACATATGTATGTATGCGCATTAGACCTCACCACCGTACAAGCAAACAAAATAAAGTTTTGTAAATTATGAAAATAATTTCTTTTTGTCAATGTTATTGTGGCTTGTTAACATTTTATTTTTAATATTTTTATTGAGCTTTGTACCACGATTGTTTATTAGGAAAAATTGAAATTGAATTGTTGCTTTTTTTTGTTAATATAGTTAAAATTCTTGCAAAAACTATATAAACAAAAATTTCCAACTTTGTACATAATTTAGAAAAATTCACAAAATCAAAAAAATGTACACTTTTTAATATGAGATTTTAGAAAAAATTTCGATTATAATTTTCGTGTTTAATTTTAGTACAATAAAGTGCGAGAGCTGGCGCCCGTCATTGAACTGTGTGTATCTTAAAAAAAATATTTTTTTTATTAATTTGCAAATATATACCTCATTTACTAAAAAGTGGTGGCAAGGCTTGCTTCAGCACTAGTGTACATTCGGCAATAAATTTTTATACCCGAGCGCACTTGTGCACAAGGGTATTATANTGATAAAATTTTGGAAAATGGGCGTGGCACCGCCCACTTATGATCACATATATGTGTCTCGGTAACCGTTCCACCAATTTGTACCAAACTCGGTATTTTTATTGTGCTTGCTACATAAAAGCAAAACGTTGAAAATTATTGAAATCGGACTAAAATTACGGCCGTTTTTTATATAACCGGTAAATTTCAGAAATGCTTGAAATTTCAATATTTCGAAATTTAAGGACGCTAATTTACTTAAAATTTATACACCCCGGCTTATCATGTAGCGGCAGCTTTCGGAAAGGTGGAAAACATATATTTAATACTTGCGCCGGGTATTTAATGTTCGGCTCCGCCCGAACTTAGACTTTCTTACTTGTTTTTAATAGTTCTGTTGGAATTATCAAACTACTTCCTTAGCAAATGTTTAATGGTTTTTGGCGAGCTTTAATTTACTAACAGTAAGGTGGTAGGAGTGGCGTATAAGTACAAGAATGGGATACTTGAGGTCAATGCAACTAGGAACAAATGAAATCGTCTCCCCGATACAAAAATACGAATACATCATACTTAAAGATCCGTCTGTAAATTCCGAAGATATAACAAAAAATGTTAAAAGGCGACCCACAGTGTACGATTTGGGAGTGTCGATGGACAATATCGTAATTCTCTCGATAGAAATAAGAAAAAGAAATTGTCTTTATATTCTCAATATATAAAACCCCCAAAAAATTTGGTTGAAAAATGAACTTCGAAAAAAATTAATACTTTGCTAGCTCCGAAAAAAAATTTAGGTATGGTTTTATGGACTTTTTTTGTAGATTTTCCACCGAAGAATTCATTGTCAAATTGGCTTAGAATTTATTGTCAAAAAATGACTAAGAAATCTTTTAGATGCGCATTTTTTAAATTGCAAAGCTGCATATTTCTTAATTTTTCTTGAGTATGCATCTTCGTAGCACATTAAAATACATAAATTGTATATAATAAAGTGGAAGTTTTAAGCGTTTTTATAAAAAATTTTTTAAGTGAAACTTCTTTAGCGGCGGTTGGTTCGTTTGGAGTAAATTGGCAAATTCAGCGGAAATTGCACACGGAAATGGTGCAACGGAAATAGTGCAACGGAATTGGTTGGGGCGGGCTGAAACAAGTGCTTCTTGAGTATATGCACATGGTATAAAAAAAAAAAAAAAAACTTCCTAATAGAAGGTTAAAGAATAACACTTAACAGTGAAGTACATAGATAAACAAGTAATTTTTAGCAAAAAAAAACCGACTTCAACTCTCATATAAAAAAAAATATATATATATATCTCATGATCCGCTGATCGGATCTTAACCAGATTAGTATGGGACCACCTCTGAGACACTACCTTTCCGATGCAAAATCGAAATCGGTTGACGGGGTCCAAAGTTATGCGGTAACATACATAAAAAAAAGGAAAAAAAAAAAAGATTCCGACGAACTGATAACCTCCTCCTTTTTTGGAAGTCGGTTAAAAAAAGGATAAATGCCAAGGTAAAAGTAAAAACAAAAACAAAGATGCGTAAAGATAATGGCAAATACTTAGTTATCAATATTTTTATCGGTTTTGTAATCGATATTTTTATCGATTTTGTTATCTAAATTTCTGTCGATATTGTTACCGATTGTTCTATTGAAGTTTTCGGAACTTATCGATATAATAATCGCTCTTTTTATTGATATTTTTATCGATTTTGTAATCGATATTTTTAAGGATTTTGCTATCGGTTTTATATCGATATTGTTATTGGTTTTGTTATCGATATTGGTATCGATTTTGCTACCAATATTTTTATCGAATCTATTATCGATTTTGTTATTGATATACATAGTTGTCGATTATTTACCGATTTTGTTATCGATTATTTATTCATTTTGTTATCGATATTTTTATAAATTTTTTAATGGATTTTTGTTATCGATATTGTTATTGATTTTATTATCGATATTTTTATCGACTTTGTTATCGAATATTTATCTATTTTGTTATCGATTATTTATCGATTTTGTTATCGAATATTTATCGATTATGTTATGGATTATCTATCGATCTTTTTATCGATTATCTATCGATATTTTTATCGATTTAATAATCGATATTTTTATCGATTTTGTTATCGATATTTTTGTCGATTTTATTATCGATATTTGTATTGATTTTGTTATCGATATTTTTTATCGATTTTCTAATCGATTTTGCTACCAATATTATTATGGATTTTGCTATCGAATTTTCATCGATTTTGCTATCGATATTTAATCGAGATTGTTATCGGTATTTTGATGGATGTTACTATCGATTTTTTTACGGATAGAATGTAAAGATAAAAGTGATGATAGAGGGAAGCAGAATAACATAAATGTAATTAGAATGGGCAGAGGGAGGAACAGGTATAACCTTTAGCAAAAGCAGATGTATGGATGATATATGTATGTATGTATATTGTTTATGAGACAAAATTAATATGTAACATGTATGTTTGTTGTATGGAAAAAATGCGTATTACAGTC